TGGGTGGGGAGAGGGAGGGTGAGGAGAGGGAGGGGGTGTGGGTGGGGAGAGGGAGGGTTAGGAGAGGGAGGGGGGTGATGGTGGGGGAGAGGGAGGGGAGGTGAGGGTGGGGGAGAGGGAGGGGGGTCAGGTGATCACCAAACACGCTCAGGTAACACCCAACACAGCCCTAGCTTGGTGCGGTGTTTGGTGTGTGTGGATCACCATGGCAGCCCCACATGGTAGCGGTGCAAGCCTTGCATGTTGCAACCCTCACGTCTAGTTCCCATGTCATATTTTCATGGCATTCCATGAGCGGTTTCTCTCATAGAATCTGGATACAAACGTCAAATTCTAGATTTATAGTCGTGAGCCTCTCACACGAGCCCAGTTGTGGGACCCTCGGGAATATTGAGCTGTTTGGGGTCATCATCCCCCCCCCCCGGCCATACCCTGTGGGCATAGTATCCAAGAATAACGTTGATTTAACGTTAACTCATCGTTGATAATGAGTACACTCATCATCTTTTTTTTTTTTTTTTTTTTGCGAGGATATTCCGGCGCGGGCCCTAAGCCTCTGGCTGGCCCACTAAATGTTGCTTGTTTCTGTTTTGCTTGGGCGGAGTATGAGTATTTATTACTCGTATGGTCGCTTCAGTAAGATTTTGCCATATGTGCTTAACAACTTCTTCTGCTCTGTTGAATCTAAGTTGAAATGTTAATGGGTTTGTAACTGTGCACTGTGTTAGATAATGTTCCAGTGGTCTGTCGGGCATTTCTCCACAGTGTTGACATTTCCTCTCATCTTCCGGAACCTGTAAGCCTCTTTCCCATGCACATGGGTATCCAAGCCTGATGCGATGTAAGTGTACTTCTGTTGCTCTACTACTCCCTTTCTTCAAACTAAGTGGTTCGTAGTTGGTTGAATTCTTGTACCAACCCGCAGATCCTGATGTTGCAACTGCTGTGTTGTGGTCACTGTACATCTTTTGCATTGCTCTGTTTCTAATTACTTTCTTAATCTGTGATAGACTCTGTGGTATGTAAATGTCTACATTTCTTCTCTTAGTTGCAAGTTTTGCAGCTTCGTCTGCAATGTCATTTCCTATTATTCCCACATGACTTGGCACCCAGTTGATAAGTACCTTGGTGTGGTGATAATGAGTAAACAAATTATTATCTTCCCCTTTACAAAGCTGCCGAACTAAAACATATCTTCATGTTATGACCTTTTACCCACATGTTTTTTATAGAAATGATTACATTTCCATGAATGGTTTCCTGAATTTACCTGAAGGTCACTGACACACTAGTGGCCTCGTGAGAACAGGAAGCCTGCGGCTTGTCAAATGTCCCCCCTCACACCCCTAATTTGTCCTGATATTATTTCCAGGTGGAATTAAGCAATACTCCCCCAAGCTTACAACAAGCTGAACACACTACGGTGGAGGGGAGCACCTCGCCCCTCTGGTGTTCCTGTTCAACGTTAGACAGCACGTGTTCTGATCTAGTATTGAGGAAAGGAACACAATTACGAGTGAAGGCCAGTGTTTAAAGACGACAAACGTTCACATGTGTACTAAACACGTTTCACATACATATGTAAGTGGCAACAATGTGCATACTCCAACGTATTCATACACTCCAATATATGCAACACAACCACACACACACACACAAGTATATGCAATACATCTATACAGTATTATATACAATACAATCATACACACTCCACGATATACTACACAACCACACACGATCCAGTATATACAACACAACCATACAGACTCCAGTAAATTATATTCGAGAATTATACTCCAGAACTATAATTAATTATATAGCAAATGGGTGTATGTCGGCAACACTTCTTTTTAGCGAGGTCGAAACATGTGGGCATGTTGGAGAGAGTGGCGGGCGCGAGGCGAGCGTGCGCGCCACCACATGACAGCTGGCTTTGTTGACAAACATCTGGCCCAGGAAGGTGTGAGTGGCTGGCAGCCGGTGTTGTTATAGCGGTCATCTGCTGGCGCCCGGGTGGACGTGCACGCGCCTACACCTGCCTCGTCTGCTCTACACCCACACGTATAACAACCATATATTACATAACCTGCTAATACGAAAACATCTTTACAAAATATTTGTTTTTTGACGTACTTATATTTTTTGTTTTAATTCAATTATTGTGGGAGAGGTGCGTTGTAGGGATGTCTTCCAGAGGTAGCGGTGGTTCACACGCACCAGTGGTGGCTCTCTCACACCAGTGGTGGTTCTCACACTGGTGGTGGGTGTCACACACACCAGCGGTGGTTCCCCCGCACCCGTCAGTCACTGTCCATCACTGCACTACACAATAGTGGCCAGGGCGGCGGGGCGCGTGTGGCCGCCACTCCACGGAAGCAACCTGTGATGGCACCACCGCCGTGTCTGGCCACATCTGGCAACCACCTCCATGACGCAATCATTTTCCCCAACAATTTATATATATTACCAATCACTCAGCGCGTGTTACTTGCTTTTAGGACACGGATTAATAATTATACGTTTATAACATTTACCTTATTTCGTGCCAAAACGTCAATCTCCCATCGAGTAAAAAGTGACGGAATATTCCGTGGTGGCGGCGTTTGGCATTCAGAACGACGTATGCCATCCTTCTTTCCCAATTTCCTGTATATCAATAAAAAACACCATTCATTCCTATATAATTTTTGTTAAGACGGATTCGCAATGTTGTCTGGTGGAGACCGTTCGTGAACAAGGTGAAAAATATGCGATCTGACGTTCGACAGCGACGCATTGCGCATGATTTTAGAATTATTGTTTATGTATAGCAGGAACGTGTCGTCTTGAAGTAAATAGCCAGGCCGGGAAAGGCAGCGAGGCCGGGAGAGGCAGCGAGGCCGGGAGAGGCAGCGAGGCCGGGAGAGGCAGCGAGGCCAGGAGAGACAGCGAGGCCGGGAGAGACAGCGAGAGGCAGCGAGGCCAGGAGAGGCAGCGAGGCCGGGAGAGGCAGCGAGGCCAGGAGAGGCAACGAGGCCGCGAGAGGCAGCGAGGCCGGGAGAGGCAGCGAGGCCGAGAGAGGCAGCGAAGCCGAGAGAGGCAGCGAGGCCGGGAGAGGCAGCGAGGCCGGGAGAGGCAACGAGGCCGCGAGAGGCAGCGAGGCCGGGAGAGGCAGCGAGGCCGGGAGAGGCAGCGAGGCCGGGAGAGGCAACGAGGCCGGGAGAGGCAGCGAGGCCTGGAGAAGCAGCGAGGCCGGGAGAGACAGCGAGGCCAGGAAAGACAGCGAGGCCGGGAGAGACAGCGAGGCCGGGAGAGGCAGCGAGGCCGGGAGAGGCAGCGAGGCCGGGAGAGGCAGCGAGGCCGGGAGAGGCAGCGAGGCCGGGAGAGGCATCGAGGCCGGGAGAGGCAGCGAGGCCTTTAGAAGCAGCGAGGCCGGGAGAGACAGCGAGACCGGGAGAGACAGCGAGGCCGGGAGAAACAGCGAGGCCGGGACAGGCAGCGAGGCCGGGAGAGGCAGCGAGGCCGGGAGAGGCAACGAGGCCGGGAGAGGCAGCGAGGCCTGGAGAAGCAGCGAGGCCGGGAGAGACAGCGAGGCCAGGAGAGACAGCGAGGCCGGGAGAGACAGCGAGGCCGGGAGAGGCAGCGAGGCCGGGAGAGGCAGCGAGGCCGCGAGAGGCAGCGAGGCCGGGAGAGACAGCGAGGCCAGGAAAGACAGCGAGGCCGGGAGAGACAGCGAGGCCGGGAGGCAGCGAGGCCGGGAGAGGCAGCGAGGCCGGGAGAGGCATCGAGGCCGGGAGAGGCAGCGAGGCCTTTAGAAGCAGCGAGGCCGGGAGAGACAGCGAGACCGGGAGAGACAGCGAGGCCGGGAGAGGCAGCGAGGCCGGGAGAGGCAGCGAGGCCGGGAGAGGCACCGAGGCCGGGAGAGGCAGCGAGGCCGGGAGAGGCAGCGAGGCCTGGAGACGCAGCGAGGCCGGGAGAGACAGCGAGGCCGGGAGAGACAGCGAGGCCGGGAGAGACAGCGAGGCCGGGAGAGGCAGCGAGGCAGCGAGGCCGGGAGAGGCAGCGAGGCCGGGAGAGGCAGCGAGAGACAGCGAGGCCGGGAGAGGCAGCGAGGCCGGGAGAGGCAGCGAGGCCGGGAGAGGCAGCGAGGCCAGGAAGACAGCGAGGCCGGGAGAGACAGCGAGGCCGGGAGAGGCAGCGAGGCCGGGAGAGGCAGCGAGGCCGGGAGAGGCAGCGAGGCCGGGAGAGGCAGCGAGGCCGGGAGAGGCAGCGAGGCCGGGAGAGGCAGCGAGGCCGGGAGAGGCAGCGAGGCCGGGAGAGGCAGCGAGGCCGGGAGAGACAGCGAGGCCGGGAGAGACAGCGAGGCCGGGAGAGGCAGCGAGGCCGGGAGAGGCAGCGAGGCCGGGAGAGGCAGCGAGGTGGGGAGAGGCAGCGAGGCCGGGAGAGGCCGCGACGCCTGGAGAGGCAGCGAGGCCGGGAGAGGCAGCGAGGCCGGGAGAGGCAGCGACGCCTGGAGAGGCAGCGAGGCCGGGAGAGACAGCGAGGCCGGGAGAGGCAGCGACGCCTGGAGAGGCAGCGAGGCCGGGAGAGACAGCGAGGCCGGGAGAGGCAGCGAGGCCTGGAGAGGCAGCGAGGCCGGGAGAGGCAGCGAGGCCGGGAGAGGCAGCGACGCCTGGAGAGGCAGCGAGGCCGGGAGAGGCAGCGAGGCCGGGAGAGGCAGCGAGGCCGGAAGAGGCAGCGAGGCCGGGAGAGACAGCGAGGCCGGGAGAGGCAGCGAGGCCGGGAGAGGCAGCGAGGCCGGGAGAGGCAGCCAGAGATCAAGAGCAAGGTTAGCGGTCGTCATGCCTACCTGTGACGTCATCGCCGCGACGGACCAGGTCGATAAGGTTGAGCATCACGACGTGTACACGTCATGGCCACGGTCATCACGTCGTGTACACGTCATGGCCACGGCCATCACTTCGTGGCCACGGTCATCACGTCGTGGCGACGGTCATCACGTCGTGGTCACGGTCATCACGTCGTGGTCACGGTCATCACGTCGTGGCCACGGTCATCACGTCGTGGCGACGGTCATCACGTTGTGGCCACGGTCATCACGTCGTGGCCACGGTCATCACGTCGTGGCCACGGTCATCACGTCGTGGTCACGGTCATCACGTCGTGGCCACGGTCATCACGTCGTGATCACGGTCATCACGTCGTGGCCACGGTCATCACGTCGTGGTCCCGGTCATCACGTCGTGGTCACGGTCATCACGTCGTGGCGACGGTCATCACGTCGTGGTCACGGTCATCACGTCGTGGCCACGGTCATCACGTCGTGGCCACGGTCATCACGTCGTGGCCACGGTCATCACGTCGTGGCCACGGTCATCACGTCGTGGTCACGGTCATCACGTCGTGGCCACGGTCATCACGTCGTGATCACGGTCATCACGTCGTGGCCACGGTCATCACGTCGTGGCCACGGTCATCACGTCGTGGTCACGGTCATCACGTCGTGGCCACGGTCATCACGTCGTGGTCACGGTCATCACGTCGTGGCCACGGTCATCACGTCGTGGTCACGGTCATCACGTCGTGGCCACGGTCATCACGTCGTGGTCACGGTCATCACGTCGTGGTCACGGTCATCACGTCGTGGCCACGGTCATCACGTCGTGGTCACGGTCATCACGTCGTGGCCACGGTCATCACGTCGTGGTCACGGTCATCACGACGTGTACACGGTCGTGATGACGCTCTGCTCCGGGGCGCGGTGTCACAGGCCCCGGAGCAGAGCACGGTGTCACAGGCCCCGGAGCAGAGCACGGTGTCACAGGCCCCGGAGCAGAGCACGGTGTCACAAGCCCCGGAGCAGAGCACGATGTCACAGGCCCCGGAGCAGAGCACGGTGTCACAGGCCCCGGAGCAGAGCACGGTGTCACAGGCCCCGGAGCAGAGCACGGTGTCACAGGCCCCGGAGCAGAGCACGGTGTCACAGGCCCCGGAGCAGAGCACGGTGTCACAAGCCCCGAGTGCTGATAATCAAAATAGAGATCTTAAATGTAGTTATTGTCCTTGTATATAAGTCACCGGAGGCAAATCATCAGCAGTTTAAAGACCAACTAATGAAAATAGAACACTGCTTGGAAAACCTCACAAATCCAGCCCCGAACATCATCCTGCTTGGGGACTTCAACCTACGGCACCTGAAATGGAAGCACCTGGCTAATACAGTAATATCAGAAAGAATACCAGGAAGTAGCCTAAATGAACAGGCACATGCAAATGACCTGCTACGGATGTGCGACAGGTTTGCCTTAAACCAGCAAATAGTAGAACCAACTAGGAAGGAGAACACGCTGGACCTCATTTTCACCAATAATGATGAATTGATCAGGAACATAATGATTACAAATACCTGTTACTCAGATCACAACTTAATTGAAGTTCTGACAACCATGGGGAATAGACCTTCAAAACCAGTCCCGATTCCCGGTGGAGGAGATTTCAGCAAATTCAACTTCAATAATAAACAGATAAACTGGGAGCAAATAAACCAGGACTTCACAGAAATAAACTGGGAAGAACAGCTAGAAAATGCAAACCTGAACCAGTGCCTGGAAAAAATAAGCTCAGTAGCACTAGAAATATGTTCAAACCGCATACCCCTAAGAAAAAAGAGGAAGAGATGCAGATTGGAACGGGAACGTCGTTCCCTATATAGGCGAAGAAAACGAATCGCGGAACAACTTGAGAGTCGCACCCTATCTCAAGAACGGCGAAGAAGGTTAGGTAGAGAAATAGAAACAATTGAACTCAAGCTACAAGAATCATACAAAACCCAGGAGAGGCAAAGAGAGCAAAAGGCCATCAGTGAAATAGAGAGAAATCCGAAATATTTTTTCTCCTATGCAAAATCAAGATCAAAAACCACATCTAGTATCGGGCCCCTGCGAAAGGGAGATGGAACTTTCACCGATGACAACAAAGAAATGAGCGAGTTACTGAGGAAGCAGTACGACTCTGTTTTCAGCGAGCCATTAAACACACTAAAGATTGATAACCCAAATGAATTTTTCATGGATATGATACCAACATCAAATCATATATCAGACGTCACCCTATCCCCACTGGATTTTGAAGAAGCCATAAACAGTATGCCTATGCACTCTGCACCAGGCCCTGATTCTTGGAACTCCATATTCATCAAGAACTGTAAAAAACCACTATCGCAGGCCCTTCACATTCTGTGGAGACAAAGCCTAGATACTGGCGTTATCCCTGACATACTAAAAACAGCAGAGATAGCACCACTCCATAAAGGAGGAAATAAGGCAGAGGCAAAAAATTACAGACCGATAGCACTAACATCGCACATCATAAAAATCTTTGAGAGAGTGCTAAGAAGTAAGATCAC